TATTAGCAATAATATTTTGGGTAAATTACCCATTTAGTATTTAAATAATCAGTTTTGGTATATTTTAATATCTAAACTTTCAATTTTTTTAAAAACCATACCCAACGTTTAGTTTTTGTTTCATTTTAGTACCCCCACCGTTAAAAACTTAACAGACGGGCTTGTCGGCCGCCACGTCTACAGTCACCGGCTATCGCATCTGTCGGTCGATGAAGCCCAAACTTTCTAACACACACCTTTTCAACCCCTTGAATGTGATTTCAGCCTCCGTTTTACCCAAAAAAATGCCTCAATTTCCCCAAATAAATGATGGACTCTTCAACTTCTTCGTCCTCTTATATCCGTCGTCAACCGTCTGATGGCCTGAAACTAGACTATGTTGGTCGACTCGTCGTTCTCTCATGGTCCACCGTTCGGATTGGTCGTCCATCGGAGCTATGCCCCATTAGCCCGTCTGTTTTAACGGTAGGGTATTAAAAAAAAACAAAAACTAAACGTTAGGTGTTTTTGAAAAAATTGAAAGTTTAGATATTAAAACTGATCAAAACTGATAATTTAGGTACTAAATGTTTAGTTTACCCTAATATTTTTAAATGAAAAGGTTAAATTTCTAATAATGATAAAAAATTCAAGATTATAAAACAAATCTTAATTTCTTCAATAACCTCTAAAAATAATTACCTAATCAAATGTTACAATCTCAAGTAAAATCAATATTCATGCATTATGCAATCAATAAATATCTACATTTATATAAAAATCTTAATTTAGCACACGTAATTTTTTAATCTTTATCTTCTTAGAGATAAATCAATAAAATTAGGGATGGCAACGGGCCGGATATTGGTCCCCCGTCCCCGTCCCCGTTTAAAAATCCCGTACCCATCCCCGCTTAAAAAACCGTGAGGGTTTAAACGGGGATCCCCAACGAGTAATCGGGAAAAACCGCGGGGAAACATGTATCATCGTTTAGCATAAACGGTTATTTAAACGGGTATCGGGCCGGGTATATATATTTAAATTAAATATATAAATATTATATATATATATTTTAATTTTAATTAATTTTATTAATTATATATATATATAATTATTTTTAATATTTATCGGGCCGGCCAGGGTTTTTTTACCATCCCTAAATAAAATGTAATCTATGAAGAAGAGTCGTTATCAAATTAGAAAGAACTATTTAAAAGTCTTAAAGCATTGCTTATCTATCTAGTAAAAGTATTAAAATGAATGCTAAAAAAGAGAGAAATTCAAGAAAAAAGTAATAAGAATTTGGAATGTTCAGTAAGCGCATATTTTAGTAGCGATAATAGACATGCAAGATGAGTCAAGATATTTTATAGTCGAATCTAGTTTATAAAATTCGAGTCGAGTCAAATTTTTGTATTTTTGATTAAATTTAATTATAAATATTTATAATACCATGATATTATTTGATTATAATATAAATGATTTTGTATAACCATACACAGTAGATATATATTTATTCATTTTTCATATATAATATACATATATTATACAGAGTTAAGGGACTCAACTTAAACTTGAAAATTAATCCACTAAAAATTTTGAGTTATTCGAGTCACTATTCAAGTCATTCAAGTTGCTTTTTATAACTTGATTTGAATTTGAAATTTTTTCAAGTTGAGTCGAGTTTATAAAATTACAACTTGAAGTTAATTCGAGCCGAATTTTCTCAAATTGAGTATAATAGAAACATTTAATTTTCAAGTCAAATCGAGTTTTGCTCACCCCTAAATTCAGTATACTTGAACTTACACCTTTTTATATATAGGTAAAAAGTGGCATATGTTGATAATTAATCAGGAGATATGAAATTTCACCTATAACTTTTAGATTAGTTAAAACTGTTCACTTGTAATTCTTTCGAACATTATATATTGTTTTAAAAATAATCCCACGGCTTCATTGAAGACATTTTACATTAAAGTCTATGGATAAAACTATGGTAACAGCAAAATAGGTTTGGCATTTTTAGCGGCATTTTTTGAAAAACATCGGTAAAGTTATTATTATCGCGGCATTTTTAGAATAAACGCCACAAAATACCAAATTTTGCGACAGTTAAAGCAAAAACGCCGCTAAATACTTGTACTTTAATGACATTTTTATATAAACGTCGATAAAGACTGTACTTTAGTGACATTTTTATACAAACACCTCTAAAGACTCGTACTCTAGGTGTTTTTATACAAACACCCTAAAAAGTCGTACTTTAGTGGCATTTTTATAAAAACATCATAATAGGACATGTGTATAATGATGTTTTTGAAAAAAACAACACCGTAAGAGATTCATACTGTAATGGCATTTTTTGAATAATCGCCACAATTTATCAGTACATTAGTGGCGTTTGCATACAAATGCCGCTAAAGACTCGAACTTTAGGGGGATGTTGTTAAAGACTGTACTTTAGTGACATTTTTATACAAACGCCGCTATAGTGTTTTTATACAGTTTCTGAGTCCCACACCTCTTTAACCCTTATTCATTTTTTTTCTCTTCACCTATTTTTTTTTTCATTCCTGTCGTTTACGCAATCCCATCTGCTGTTCAAAATTTCCAACAGGTAGCTATTGAACTATTTTTTCTCATTCGTGGATCATTGCTTCCAGAATTCTCGTCTTCCATTCACTACAGCAAAAGTGGCTTGTTGTGGCGTTTTTTTTACTTATAGCGGCGTTTTTAAGCGCCGCTAAAAACACCTGCGGCGTAAAGACAAACGTCGCTAAAAATAGCGCCGCTAAAGTTTACGGCGTTTTTCAACAAAAAACGCCGCAATAGGTGACAACATATAGCGGCGTTGAACAAACGCCGCAAAAGGTATTGATATTTAGCGGCGTTTTTCAGAAAAACGCCGCAATAGGTGTTGATATTTAACGGCATTTGGCAGACAAACGCCGCAATAGGCGTTGATGTTTAGCGGCGTTTTCTTTACAAACGCCGCAGTAGATGTTTATTTTTACCGGTGTTTTTCCTACAAACGCCGCAGAAGATGTTGATATTTAGCGACGTTTTCCTAAAAACAAAATTTTAGCTTAATTTTAGTTTAATTTTTAAAATCCGTGGTTTCATTTCCGCCGAGATAAAATATATTAATCTTTTCCCCCACCTCAACAACTACAAGCAAAATCCTACGGTCAAAGAAATCATATAAATCTTGCAAATGAGATGAACCCTAACATTAGAAGTTAATTGATAAATTCAAGCTTTCTTGGGAGATTTAGTTGCCTTTGATGGAGATTTCGATTCTTTAGAAGAGGCCTTTTCAGTCTTCTTTGGGAGAAGAACAGGGTTAATGTTCGGTAAAACGCCACCGTGAGCAATAGTAACGCTGGCGAGAAGCTTTCCCAGTTCCTCGTCGTTCCTCACGGCGAGTAGAAGGTGTCTTGGGATGATCCTGTTCTTCTTGTTGTCACGTGCTGCGTTTCCGGCCAATTCTAGAACCTGGATTCCCAATTCAAAACCGAATTACGAACTACAAATAACAACAATTAACTTATGCGATGACTTGCCCTAGCTTTCAGTTACCTCGGCTGCTAAGTACTCGAGAACAGCGGCGAGATAAACCGGAGCTCCGGTTCCGACACTCTACGAATACCTTCATTTCTTTAAGTAGCGGTCGATCCTTCCGACGGGGAATAGGAGGCCAGCTTTGACGGACCTTGAAACTGGCTTCTTCTTTGGGCCGCCGCCTTTTCTTCCACCAGCACCTTTCTGTACTTTAACTCCGGCATCCATTGCTAGAGACAGACGTGAAAAAAATGATTTTAACGCTTCAAGAAGTATAAAATTCTCAGCTTTGACAAATCGCGGTGCAGAAAATAAAGCGAGATTGGCACGTTTTGTAGCGGTAGTTTAGGCGGGGTGCAACGAGAGGGGACTGAGACCCGTTAGATTGTGCACTTATCGACGGTTGAAGATCCTTTAGAGACGATCCGTGTTGTTTTCAATAACACCAATGAGAAGTGTGAACACTCCAACCAAACGTATCAAAAATATTTAGATGCTTACATTAATTTGTATTTCAATGCTAATTCGACATGGAATATTAATATGTCAGAAAAAATTATATTATTCAAATTTTCATGTTATAAGTAAATTAAAGACTTAAATATATTATTGTCTCCTAAAGTATACTATTTGTATTAAATTGTCCTCTAAAATTTTTTCAAATATTTTATTTTTTTAAACTTTAAATCGTTATCTCATTTACTCTAAATCGTTAACTCCGTTAAAGTAAAAAATCAACACGCCGCTGAGAGGGCAAACGACTGGAGAGAAAGAAAGCCTGACCTGGGTATGGCGAAATGCGACGACGCCGGAGACGAAGAAGGCACGGCGCAGTGAAGGAGATGGCTACTGGTGTTTTCTGGGTAAATTGTAATCGGAAAATCGTAGACAAATCAATAAGGAAGAATGGCTAGGGCTTCAGGAGTTTTAAAACTGGCTTTGCGACGTTTAACATTACAAACGCCACTGATGTGTAAATAATTGCGGCGTTTTTAATTAAAAAATGCCACGTTTGTTAAAATCAATTGCGGCGTTTACAGAAAAACGCCACTAATGTACGACCCATTTGCGGCGTTTCTTGTAAAACGACACTATAAGCAACTCTATTGCGGCGTTTATATAAAAACGCCACTAATGTACGACCCATTTGTGGCGTTTCTTGTAAAACGCCACTATAAACAACCCTATTGCGGCGTTTATATAAAAACGTCGCTAAATTACTACTCTATTGCGGTGTTTTTTTAGAAAACGTCACTATAAACAACTCTATTGCGGCGTTTATATAAAAACGCAGCTAAATTACCACCCTATTGCGGCGTTTGTTGAAAAAACGCCGCTAAAGTTTTATTTTCCGGCGTTTCGATTTTAAACCCCGCTACATCCTTAAATTTTGTGGCGTTTTCCCTAAAAGCGCCGCTAAAAACGCCGCTGCATAACACTTTTGCTGTAGTGATTGCTATATCTCAAGGTATTTTCACCGCACTTTCGATGCTTTCCTTCTTTACTTTCTGTTTGGTTGCCGCCTAAAATAATTCGTTTTCTTAAAACCTCGGCTCACCTAAGCTTATACTAAGTTGAGCAGAGAGACAAAAGAAAATTTGATTGATTTCCTTTTGTTTTGGCAACCAAATAGAAGGTAGAGAGTTCTTTTTCCCTAGAATTTATTTATGTTTTGGCTGCTAAAACGGAAAAGTTTTGCATTTACCTGAAGTCTGGATGAGCAAGTGTTTTCTTCATTACTAAGGTTCTTTTTTCCTCTCATTTCTCGAAAGGTTTTGGCGTCAACGGGTTCGTTTTGGTGAGGATTCTGAATAAAGGAATTTTCTTTTAAGTTCTTTAGGAGATGCCGTCTCATCTCTTTGTTACGGTGGATGTCCTTATTTTTCAATAATTTCCAGAGATTTAACTTTCATCAACAATTTATCACGTGATTAAAGATAAAGTAGTTAAATATTTTTATTGTTATGATTATGAATGTTGATGAAGTGGTGTTAACTAGAATGAAATTAGAAAACAGAGACGGATCTCTATCGGTTGGTGTTGGCTTTTGTGTTTTGCAGCAGTATATAGGTATCTTCAGCTTTTTCGGAGTTCAAAAATGGCTTTGCTATTTATAGTGTTGGATTCAAAGGAAATCAAAGGTGTTTCGTGTCTTACTCATTGCTCGTTGCAGAGGATTTGAAGCAGCGGTAGCGCTGTCCAGGTCCTGTCAATGGACGCATACTCATCTGGCGAAGAACTAGTAATTAAGGTATCAGTTATCAAAAACAGGAAACTCTTTTCAGTTTCTTTTAAGGTATCCATTTTGGAATTGCAGAAAGTGGATTTCTTCTTGTTAAAACCTCAATTATTTAATTTTCCTTATGAATTGTAGACTAGGAAGGCTTATACTATTACAAAACAACGTGAACGGTGGACTGAGGACCATAACAGGTTCCTAGAGGCCTTGAAGCTCTATGGACAAGCTTGGCAAGGCATTAAAGGTTTTCACTTATTTTTTTATCTTATTGTTTCTTTTTGTTGGTGGGGTTGAGGAGGAAGAAACAGGAATATTTCAGCTGCTGATGTGATTTAGAATTATTATTATCCTGGACTGGAGCTAAAAAAAATTGTTAGGAGTTGGTAGTTTACTGTCTTAACTGGAGATCTGTCATTTCTCTCTAAACTTGGTGAATTGCACAACACATAGGAACCAAGACTGCTGTTCAGATCAGGAGTCACTCTCAAAAGTTCTTTTCAAAGGACATTTGGTGCTTTCTTGCTTATGCTTAAATTCAATTGACTTTTCTGCTTCTTAACTCTTGTTTCTGCTACAACTATATGAAATATTGATTCCTCAGTTGCACTATATTGAATGGTTTGGGAAATCTTATTATTCTTTACTTCATATTGATTTATCCCCGTACTTGTATAAGCATTTTTTTTTGGGTTGGGGGGGGGGTGATAAAACAGTCAGGAGAATATGAGAGGTTCTGCCAGCACAGGCGAGTAACAATCGAGGAGAAAGTGTTCAACGCAATATATTTAAAGATTACATACTGTGTTAAAAACTTTAGTTGTATATCAATGATCAGATTTATAGCCAATTACATGACAAAACTAGAGTTTATTATACTACAAGAGGCATAAACCTTAATACTAATTTTACAACCGAATTAAGATGATTGTCTGAGCTGTCTTATTTAGCATACTACATGTAGGGTGATAGCCTTTCCCTTCTCCACAAATCTGTTTTATTGTTCTGGATGTCAGCTATTTGAATTCTATTTATTTGGGTCCAAGATTGACAATCTGATGTGTGCAAGGAATGTTTATCATCATAGGAGTCTGATCTTTTAGAAAAGGAGTGCATTCCAACTTTTTCTGTTGTTTTAAAGGGTTACTTTCTGGTAGCAATTTCACAATCTTTTTACGCGCAAGGCATGCACTTTTCTGGTTACTTTTGAACATGCTTTAGTTTTGTAATTAATCTACCACAGCAGAGGTTTCAGATTTAACATATTTGGTTCTTTGGCTTATAAGTGAATTTGATGGCTAGATTTTGCAAAGGTTTTGGCTTTGCTTCAAATTGAATTCTTCGGCATCCATGGGTAGTATGCCAGGCATGGACAGGAGTCTCGAGTGTGTTTCTTGTTTTTATTTGGATTAATTTCTGCATTCTGTTCTTTAGTCCGGATATTCTTCCATTACCATTTATTTCATGCTCAAAGGGTAAGGTAAAAGAAGCATTTGTTCATGCTGACATATATTTTATTCTCTGATCTCAAATTCGTGTTTCGTACCATCATTTTTATAATCTGTTGTTGTAGGTTTCCACGCCATAAGTTTCTCAGAACATTGATTCCCTTCTGGTCAAGTGCATTACCTACTCTCTACCGGTGACTGCACCTCCACGTAAAGATACAGATGATGGCCCAGAAGGTCGGTTGAAGCATCAGAGGTCAACGCGGATGGATCCACGAAAAATCCTTCTTGTCATGGCAATCATGTAAGTCTGCACTTTTCTTTATCTTCTGTATATATGCGCCAATGCCATGCTAACCACTCACATTCAAATGCACGCAGAGATGTACCTTTCTCATGCATGCATGGAGAATAGACTAATTCAAAAAAAAAAGACAATGAAAAGAGTTGAATTATCTAACTTTAAAATTAATAAGAATTTAATAATTATTTAATTCAAAATTTAAAAGATACAAGATTTAATTTAATAAGTTTCAAATAATTATATAAGACTAAACTTGTCATTAGACAAAAATTTTGGACTCAATGACTTCATCCCACAATAAGATAATTAGGTTGAACCTTAGGGTTCTTACATATAATTAGATTTTAAAACTTTCATATAATCTAGGTTCTTTTTATATTTTATAAATAATTTAATTTTGTATCCCTAAAATTTTATAATTTTATACTCTTAAATTTCTAGTATGTCTTTCAAAAAATTCACACTCTAACCTATTGTAATTATATGATTATATAAATTAATGTTGACATATTAATAGCTCGTATTATATAATATGTGCATTGTTATAGGTGGTTATCATGTTTTATTTGATTTTCTTGTGTCATGTTCAAAGTTATCTAACTTAATGTTTATGCATATATAATAGGTTTATGATGCGTTTATAGGGAAAAATCAACTTCAAGCTATGATGCAGATGATACGACAAAATCAACCCCAGAGTCCACCATCTTACTTGTTATTATTGTTTATTCCAGTTAACAATGTTGAACTACATTATATTTTACGTTATTGTAAACTTTGATTTATTATTATGGATTTCAAGTTTCTTGTTATGGATTTCAAGTTTGTTTTCTGGATGTCAAGTTTATTGGATAATGTTACATGTTAAATTTGGGTAACAAAAAGTAGAAAACAACATTTGGAAAATTAGTTTTAATTCGCGGCGTTTGTATAAAAAACACCACTAAATACATAGTCAATACCATCATTTTTGAAAAACGCCATTAAAGTTCTAGAACTTTTGCGGCTTTTATACAGAAAATGCCACTATATACATAGTTAATAGCAACGTTTTACATTCACAAACGCCACTATATGATGTAACATTTAGTGGCATTTTTGGGAACAAACGCCACTATATGTTAGAACATTTAGCGGGTTTTTGGGACAAAATGCGACAAAAGAAAAGATAAATAGCGACGCTTGGAAAAAACACCGCCAAATATCATTACCTTTAGCGGCGTTTATATAAAAACGCTGCTAAAAACATAACCTTTAGCTTACCTTTTGCGACATTTATTTTTTTGCCACAAAGGTTTTTTAGCGTCGCTTAAAAACACCGCTATATAACTAAAAAAACACTACTAAAAACTTGTTTTTCTGTATTGTAAAACATTGAATGAGATCAAATTATTTAACTTCGAAATTGCAAAGACTAAATAAATATTTAAAACTAAAAGAATAAGATTAAAATTTAATTTATTTAATTTTAAAGATGATAGAATTAAGGAACTAAAACTTAATTTAACTTATTCAAAATTATTAAAGGCATAAAAATCAATTAAAACAGAAACCTAAGTAAAAATTTTAGTAGTGAAGAAATGAACTTGTTCCTAGTGCGGTTACTATGGAAGTTTTTCCTTGCTACTTCTTTTGCGGTTACAAGAAGATTGCAGGATAACCAAAGAGCTGGAAAATTTCTTGGATGTATCGAACGGAACCCAGACTATTGACATGCCATGGATACCACTTCTTACAATCCTATACATACATATATTGTTAAGCTAGAATTGTTGGAAAAGTCAAGAAAATGGGGCTAGAAAGGGGGCTGATTTTTTCAACAATGGAGAGCACATTTTTAGCAAAGGGGGCACCGAATTTGGTGCCCCAATTTTTAATTATAATTGAAATAGGATTAATTATAAGATTAGTCCCTTAGCTTCAACTATAAATACCCTAGCTCATTTAGCTTCAAAATCATCCCAAAATCTTCCACTTCTCTCTAAAGTGTGTTTTGTAAACGCCTGTAAATTTTCTCTTTAGTAAAAGATCTGCAACAGTCCGGAGACGTAAGCACAATTGGCTGAAATCCGTTATCAATTTTTCGGGTATTATTTTTCCGCTTTTATTTCGCATTCTCAATAATCTGGTTATAGGGAAATTACTTGTTACTCATTTATTTCCCAATAACTGATATCAGAGCTTTTGGTTGTAAGTTTTGTCAATTTTGTTTTGTGAGGTTACTATTCATTACTATTTACGTGAATAGTAACTTTCGTGAATAGTAAATTTTTTTCGGCAATACGAATTTGTCGACAGAGGTGTTCTAATACACAGTAGTTCACAAGAATTGTCAGAAACAATCCAAACGAATCGAGATTCGAGTGGGAGCGATGGCTGTAGACGAAGGGATGGTGAAAATTGAAAAGTTCGATGGTGCGGACTTTGGCTTTTGGAAGACGCAGATTGAAGATTTTCTGTACCAGAAAAATCTATATCAACCCCTCTCAGGAAAGCAACCATAGGGCATGAAGAATGAAGACTGAGCTCTTCTCGATAGACAAGCCCTCGGAGTTATTCGACTGACGTTATCCCGCAATGTTGCTTTCAACACAGCAATGGAAAAGACCACGGTGGGTCTTATGGCGGCTCTCTCGAGTATGTATGAGAAGCCATCAGCCTCAAACAAAGTTCACTTGATGAGGCGATTATTCAATTTGCGGATGGCGGAAGGGGCATCAATAGCTCAACACCTAAATGAACTCAACACTATCACAACCCAGTTGAGTTCCGTGGAAATTGAATTTGATGATGAAGTTCGAGCTTTACTTCTCTTATCATCACTACCAGACAGTTGGAATGCTACTGTTACAGCAGTTAGTAGCTCGTCGGGAAACAGAAAATTAAAATTTGACGATGTTCGAGATCTGGTATTGAGTGAAGAAATTCGACGGAGAGAATCGGGTGAAGCATCAACCTCCTCAGCCTTGCACACAGATTCCAGAGGAAGAACTTAAGAAAGAAATTCAAATCGTGGTAGATCCAAATCCAGAACGGGAAAATCAAGAACAAGAAAGAAAGATTTTACCTGTTATAATTGTGGCAAGAAGGGTCACTTTAAAAGAGACTGCAGAGCACTAAAGATACCGGCGTATAGGGATCTGCCAACATGACAGAGGAGACAGGTGATGCGATGATTCTAAGAGTCAACAGTCTGATTGAATCATGGATCTTGGATTCAGGGGCATCTTTCCACTCTACCCCATACTGAGAAATCATGGAGAACTATGTCAGTGGTGATTTTGGAAAGGTTTATCTAGTTGATGATGAAACCTTGAAGATCGTCGGAAGAGGAGACATCTGACTAAAGTTGCCAAACCAGACCCCCTGGACGCTGAAAGGTGTGAGACATATTCTTGGTCTCAAAAGAATTTGATTTCTGTTGGACAGCTTGATGGAGAAAGATATAGCACAACCTTTTCACTGTGAATGGAAGATTACCAAAGGAGCACTCATCATTGCTCATGGTAAGAAAACTGGTACTCTCT